ATTTTGTACTTGTTTGATAGATTTCGCCAGTCGCCTCCACCTGTGGAGCTGTCCACTTTATTTTCTGTGTTGTTTGTGTGAAAGTACAAAGCTCCCTTGAAGATCATCATCATCACGATCCATGGGCAGATAGCCTGTAGGTGTCAACTGCACATTTCGTCATTTGTTTCCCCATTCTTACGTCTTGTGCTAATCTCCTCAAGTAGTGCCAAATCTTTCCGGCACCAACCTCTTCATGATGTCATCGTCAAGTCATTCTCTGTTAAGTCTTCCTCTCTTTCCTGTTCCTTCCATTTTTCCGAACAACCGACATTACATTTTCCTGCTGTTGTTCATCCCACATAATGTCCAAATAGTGCCAGTTTCTTTCTCATCGCTGCCTGCAATCGGTCTTCTTCTGTGCAACCTTTGTTCTTGCTTCTACGTTGGTCAGTCTTTGCGTCCAGCTTAGATGCAGTATCATTCTGTTGCAATACAGTCCGAGTGTCAATATCTTATCTTTGTTAGTCTTTTTCAATCTCCAAGTCTCGCAAGAATACAAAGCTGTGCTGAAAACGCATGTTCTTAAGATGTTCAGCCTGGTCTTGCAGCCGATTTACCTGCTTCTCAAAATGTTATTGAATCCTGCCATTCCTCCTTTTGCCTTTGTGATCCTCGCTCTTCTTTTGTCTTTCAGGCAGTCGTTTTCCCATGTCAGTCGACTTCCCAAATATTCAAATTAATTTACATTCTCAATCTTGCCACTATCTATTATTACTTCTTGCTCAACGCCCTCCATTCCGACACCATTGACTGTCTTTTCCACGTTAATCCTCAGTCCTGCATCCTTTCCTGACTTATTCCACGTAAGAAGACTTCCCTGCAGTACTATTACGCAGTTTTCTTCCATCGGATCTATGTCGTCCGCGAATCTCAGGTTATTTATTCTTTCACCTCTTATATATTCCCCTCCTCTCTCCCTTTTGTGACCCCTAAGTAACCTCAGTCGTATAAAGCACCAATGTGATGAAGAAAAGAGACCAGAGATAAACAAAAAAGTATGTTGGATATGTACATTCTGTTAAGTCACTTATTTGAATCTACATAATTCAGTCAAGAACAGCATACAGTACAAGCTGTCTCCCCAGCCATGGGGAAACAACCATCTGAGGATCCAACCAATACCTTTACTTTGACATACATAGTAGGGGTTACCAAAAAGATTTCCAAAATCTTAAACAAACACAAGATCCAGGTTCGTTTCAACACAGTACACAAAATCCGTGATTTGATCCCATCTGTAAAGGATGTGATTCCTGATATGCAATACCCGGGTATCTACAAACTGAGTTGTGGCTGCGGCAGCAGTTACATTGAGGAAACGAAACAACGTCTCGGACCACGTTCATGAACACAATTCAGATCTGAAACACGGTAGGACCAATACCTTTGCTGTTGCTGATCATTGTTTTAACAAAGTGGGCTCACACGAAATTGACTTTTCCAAGACGAAGGTACTCTGCAAACCCACCGGCTATTATCAGAGATTTGTTCATGAAGTCATCCAGATATATAAACACAGACACAACTTGAACCGAGAAGATGGGTACAAACTGAGCAATCATTGGAAGGACATTATTAACCAGGTAAAGTCTTAACTGACAGTGATGTTTACATCCTACCTGCCTATGTCAGCTGTTATTTCCGACTCTCTGTGTCTTTCTCTCTCTGTGCATCTCTTTCCGATCTCTACTCCAGTGACCCGGGTGCTGCCGTGGGGTCCACTTTCTGCCCCGCCTCCTTCCCTCCCCTTCTCTCTCCTTCCATGCAGCCGATCTCTCCAGTGCTGCTGCCGTGGTCCACTTTACTCCAGTGACCCAGGGCTGCCGCGGGGTCCACTTTCTGCCACGCCTCCTCCCCCCCTCTTCTCTCTCCCCCCCTACTGCCGAGGCCTACTATATAACCTCGTGCCACGGCAGATCTCTCGCCTACTTCAGCAGTTTTTTCTTGCTGTCGTTGTCCCACCTGATGACGATTGTTTGTGTTGTGATCGAAACGTCGTGCAAAGTATAGTATAGTACACAGTTTGAATATGTTGGGTACATAATGAGTCATGTATATGATTTCGATTGTTTAGCTGATGTATATATTAACCTATTTCGATGACGTATGCGTATGTCATCGGTTTTTCGTGAGATTCCATTCTGATGACATTGCGTGCACAAAGCACATCTCTCATGATCGTCGAGGAACCAGAGGCAAGCGGGAAAGCATCAGTCAGGTGGTGATTAGCTGGCTTCACCAACGATTACCAAATCTATAAATATGTGTCAATAAACCTGCTACCACCCGACACAGCCAATTAGTAAGGTTTTTCACATAAATAGAACATGCTAATTCGTTAATAGTACAGCACACCGGTGTGATGAAAAGCCAAGCCACAACATTTATAATCTGAGTACGACGTTTCACCACTAATTACAACTAGCTTCATCATTTATATATTTACGGGTTCTAACCCCCCCCCCCCCCCCCCCAAATGTGTTATTGAGGATATTGGTCGTGAAAGCCAACGTGTTAAACTTATTACCAAATGTCTGCACTCCTCTATGTATGTTAAGATGTCTTTAGTCAATGAATGTTTGTATGTGTGCATGTGGGAAGAATTTGGTCGACCCGCATAAAGCCTGCGCTTGAAACGGCGCTACACTCCATGCCATACAGAAGGGACAGACGATTTTAGTCCACACTTTGCAATACGGAGTTCTCCTGGCAGAGCCAGCTTGGGGCACGGCATCTGCTCGGCTCCTTCGGGAAGTGGGATTCACAACATTCGAGCGGTCCCACCAACCCTCAGCTCCACAGTGCGGGATTACAGGCCACGTGCATAGCCACCACTGATATCAAGATGTCAAACTGCTACCGCCCAGCCACAGAGAAACGAGGAAACTCACCCAAACGTGGGCCCAAACATCCCAGCACAGTAAAGTGATGTTCAGATTTAATGTTTTTATTCATCACCACACACACATCGACCCTTGACCCACAATAAAATAGTATTCCAATTCACAGGTAACCCAGAACACAATCAAGTAATTTGTGTTAAAGTCAATTTGTTTAACCAGGTGAGAACTCAAGAGACCAGGATGAGTCTCGGCTGCAAGAGTGATTGCTGCTGCTTTTGCTGCTTCTACTGCTGATGGTGAACATTCTGTTGCTGCTGAAAATGCTACTATTATTATTGATGCTGTTGGTACTACTCCTGATGCTAACGATGATGATGCTAATGATGGAGCTACCACTGCTGATGCTGTTGGTCCTGCTGCTACTACTAATTCTGCTGCAGATGACACTTCTGCTGATGCTGATGATGATCGAGTTGAGTTGAATTTGAGTTTAACGAGGTGAGAACTCAGGAGATCAGGATGAGTTTCGTTGACAAGAGTGACCTGGGTCACAAAAATGAAAAAAATCAAAACAAGTCAAACCCATGCCAGCAATGAAGCAAATAGAAATCTCACCCAGAGTCCCGAGCACAATGTGATTAGCGTTCACACAAGTACACAACTGGTACGATATAATCAATGTGTCTCAAATCATCTACGCGTTGCTAAACAGCCTCAGACTCGAGATTGGGTTCACACCGGATTGGTGTCTCACGTTAAGGAGGGGTGCCGCGGTGGCTAGGAGATGTTAAGTCCCTCGCCTGGTATGCAGGAGGTCGTGGGTTAGATTACTACCGTGACAGCTGCTGTATATTTGGAGTTCGCGTTGTCATTATCCCTGTAATAACACACAGTGTCTGTGTTATTAATGCGTGTTGAGACAATATTAATCGTGTTGTAGTGTAAGGTAGATCGTCACTCGAGATATATATCAGACTTTATTAAATAACAGACTTCAAAGTCAAGAGACAGTTCCAATTTTTGTCAGCAGAGGAAGGCGTTATCCCATGAATCAAAGGTTGTGGCTGGAGGTCAGAAGATAATTCAGACATTCAGCAAAACCAACCTTTATTACAGAAGATATTGGTGGCGAAAGCCCTCCTACTAGGTTTTAAAATGGCTTCTTTCTCTCTTAGCCCTGTAAAATAAACCTAGTTTGTGTGGGTGGAGGAGTCATTCAAACCCTGGTTATGACAAACATGTCATAGTGATGCCATCCCATTCCCACCCCATTCCCACCCCGGGTTTATCGCCCAACGAGCGAGTGACCGCGAGGGGGACGGCGCGCGTCACCCCGTAGTGTCACGTGACGCGTGTTCCCAGCACGCCCGCGGTGGAGCTCCGCCCCCTCGGCGTTGAGCGCCACGCGGCGTGCGGTGCGAGGGACGATGGCGTCAGAGAGAACCTTAAATCCCCCCACTCCCCCCCCCCACAGTGCGCTAACCACTGCACCACAGCTCAACCGCACACTACACACATGCCCCTCTATACACTAAAGATAAAGATTCACCGCGTAGCCTTAACAGACTGTCGGGGCAAGTTCTGTAAGTAGCTAGTAGCAACTATGAAGGCTGGCACTGTGACACACGAGGGGGTGGGTGGCAAGCACAATGTCCAGACACACAAAAAGACAAAGACACACAAAGACACACACAGACACAATAACAAAGACACAGAAAGGCATAAACACACCAACCCACTCACCCAGACAAATATCCCACGTATATCCTTAACAGACTGTTGGGGCCAGTGTTGTTAGCGACCACCTATCAAGGCCGGCACGGCACACAAGGGAGTGAGTGGACAATACCACGACTGACCCGCCTTTGTCTCCCCAGTGGCGATGTTTCCACACCACACCAGGAACTCATTTGAGGCTGAGTCGACCCTAGGGACCGAATCAGATAATCGGCAATGGTGTTGGCGAACGGGTCATGGGCCTCTCGTAGGTCGACTCAGCCTCAAATTAGTTACTGGTGCGGTGTGTAAACGTTACCACTGGGGAGACAAAGTCGGGTCAGTCGTGGTGTTGGCCACCCACCCCCTCGAGTGCCGTGTCAGCCTTCTGAGGCGTTTGCTAACAGCACTTGCCCCAACAGTATGTTAAGGCTACACGGGGGATCTGTGTCTTTGTGTGCGTGAGTCTGTGCGTTGTGCCCGTTTCTCTGCGCTGCTCACACTCCGTGCTCTCAGGACGCACGACTCAGATCCAGAATCCTCACTGAGTCACCAACACCACCCACCCACAGTGCGGGGTAGAGCGGCTGACTAAACGAGTGGTGAAAGGAGTGCAGCAGCTTCATGGAGTCGGCGCGGTAAAACGACAGCAGCCCCGCCTCCCAGTGCAGGTGACACCCGACTCTCCGGGGAGGATCCCTCACCGGCACTGAGGTCTCTACACCACCATGACACACGTAGCAGCTGTTGTTATCTTTATATAACACCCAGGATGAGTCGTTCTCTCCCAGGCTGCACTCGTCACCACGCCCTTTCCGTGCGATCGTCCCGTACGCGACTCCAACCTCACAGCCCCAGGCCGCACCCCCCACGTCCACCTCCCAGTAGTGCTGACCCGACGAGAAGCTCTCTGAGCACAGGGCTTGTGGCCAGGCATCAAAGCGGTGTGGGTGATCGGGGCGACCCTGGGGTACAGCGGTCCACGTCACCGTCCTGAGATCCGAGGAAATCTGGAGGTCGTCCTGGGCAGAGTTTGGGTCCACAGTCGGTGAGCGTCCATCTGCAGTAACGATAATCACAGTAGCCGTGGTAACAACAGCAGCACTTTAACAATATCACTCGTGCACTAACACGCACGCACACTACAATAGAGCAATTCATAATGGGCATTGTTACACAACGTTGTAGCGCGTAGCTAGTGGTGTGATGACATCTAACGGGCGCTTTGTGAATCCGCTGCTAGATGAGGGCCTCCCTGCACCATGCGGGTCGTGGGGGATATTGACCATACTTCACCACGCCGGTTACCGTGCGTTGGCGAAGGCAGGCGAGAGCACAGAAGTACAGTACAACGGTGCGTTTGTCTGCACTGCCAGCTGCTGCCCGCCAAGTAGCCCCGCAGCCTGTAGCACCTGCTAGGCAGGGTGGTGACTACCCCACCACGTGACCCCGCAGCCTGTAGCACCTGCTAGGCAGGGTGGTGACTACCCCACCACGTGACCCGGCAGCCTGTAGCACCTGCTAGGCAGGGTGGTGACTGCCCCACCACGTGACCCCGCAGCCTGTAGCACCTGCTAGGCAGGGTGGTGGTGGCTGTCCCACCACGTGACCCCGCAGCCTGTAGCACCTGCTAGGCAGGGTGGTGGTGGCTGTCCCACCACGTGACCCCGCAGCCTGTAGCACCTGCTAGGCAGAGTGGTGGCTGCCCCACCACGTGACCCCGCAGCCTGTAGCACCTGCTAGGCAGGGTGGTGGTGGCTGTCCCACCACGTGACCCCGCAGCCTGTAGCACCTGCTAGGCAGGGTGGTGGTGGCTGCCCGTGCGGGGCTTTGAGAGGTGCCAGGAGGTGGGGCGCTCTGTCCGCTAGGGCTGCACGATTTGGGGAGAATCTCTAATTGCGATTTTTTCTGACAGATATTGCGATTCGATTTGCGATAAAAAATGGAAATAAAGCTTCAGTTCGATATTCAGTGTGTGATAGATTTAAAACACGTGATGGAGCATTACCACGTGATACCATCACAATATGAACTGCTCTTTCTATTCTAATGCAAGGATGAGAACTTAAAATATATGAATTGTTTCCAACATGTGTTTATTAAAATGTTTTAATAAAATAAAACAATCAAACATATACAACTGTTAAGTTAAATAAATAAAGGTATAATAATAAAACACAAAACAATTCCAAATAGAAACTGACGGGACTTTTCAAATCGCAAAAAAATCGTAGCCCTTGCGATTTGCTAATCGCATTGTTTGAAATTCCGATTTCGATTTGGAATCGATTAATCGTTCAGCCCTACTGTGCGGTAGTGCCCGTGGGAGGCAGTGGATCACAGCAGCAGCAGCGTGGATATAAACACCGCCATAGCGTCTCTGTGTGTGTACAACAAACACAAACATCTCCCGTGTGTCACCTTTCACAGACTGTAGGAGCAAGTGCTGTTGGTGAGCACCTGTGAAGGCCGGCACACGAGGTGGGTGTGATAGTGTAGTGATGTACACTCTGTGTGTGTGTGATAGTGTAGTGATGTACACTGTGTGTGATAGTGTAGTGATGTACACTGTGTGTGATAGTGTAGTGATGTACACTGTGTGTGTGATAGTGTAGTGATGTACACTCTGTGTGTGTGATAGTGTAGTGATGTACACTCGTGTGTGTGTGTGATAGTGTAGTGATGTATATTCGTGTGTGTGTGTGATAGTGTAGTGATGTACACTCGTGTGTGTGATAGTGTAGTGATGTACGCTCGTGTGTGTGATGGTGTAGTGATGTACACGCTGTGTGTGTGTGTGATAGTGTGGTGATGTATACTCGTGTGTGTGTGATAGTGTAGTGATGTACACTGTGTGTGTGTGATAGTGTAGTGATGTACACTCGTGTGTGTGTGATAGTGTAGTGATGTACACTCGTGTGTGTGTGTGTGTGATCGTGTAGTGATGTACACTTTGTGTGTGTGTGATAGTGTAGCGATGTACACTGTGTGTGTGTGATAGTGTAGTGATGTACACTGTGTGTGTGATAGTGTAGTGATGTACACTCGTGTGTGTGATAGTGTAGTGATGTACACTGTGTGTGTGATAGTGTAGTGATGTACACTCGTGTGTGTGATAGTGTAGTGATGTACACTGTCTGTGTGTGATAGTGTAGTGATGTACACTCGTGTGTGTGATACTGTAGTGATGTACACTCGTGTGTGTGATAGTGTAGTGATGTACACTCTGTGTGTGATAGTGTAGTGATGTACACTCGTGTGTGTGTGTGTGTGATAGTGTAGTGATGTACACTTTGTGTGTGTGATAGTGTAGTGATGTACACTCGTGTGTGTGTGTGATAGTGTAGTGATGTATATTCGTGTGTGTGATAGTGTAGTGATGTACACTCTGTGTGTGATAGTGTAGTGATGTACACTCGTGTGTGTGTGTGTGTGATAGTGTAGTGATGTACACTTTGTGTGTGTGATAGTGTAGTGATGTACACTCGTGTGTGTGTGATAGTGTAGTGATGTACACTCGTGTCTGTGTGATAGTGTAGTGATGTAAACTCGTGTGTGTGTGATAGTGTAGTGATGTACACTCGTGTCTCTGTGATAGTGTAGTGATGTACACTCGTGTGTGTGATAGTGTAGTGATGTACACTCGTGTGTGTGTGTGTGATAGTGTAGTCATGTACACTCGTGTGTGTGTGATAGTAGAGTGTGTGATAGTGTAGTGATGTACACTGTGTGTGTGATAGTGTAGTGATGTACACTCTGTGTGTGTGTGCGTGATAGTGTAGTGATGTATACTCGTGTGTGTGTGATAGTGTAGTGATGTACACTCTGTGTGTGATGGTGTAGTGATGTACACTCGTGTGTGTGTGTGTGATGGTGTAGTGATGTACACTCTGTGTGTGTGATAGTGTGGTGATACACACTCTGTGTGTGTGATGGTGTAGTGATGTACACTCTGTGTGTGTGTGATAGTGTGGTGATGTACACTCTGTGTCTGATGGTGTAGTGATGTACACTCGAGCTCCTATGAAGGCCGTGCCGGCCTTCATAGGAGCTCGCTAACAGCACTTGCCCCTTGAGTCTGTTAAGGCCATACGAGGGATCTCTGTCTATATCAACGTATCGGTAGATATCGATTCGTGTTCTTTTGTACTTAACTTCTTGTTGCCTGTGTAGTGATTTAGGTAATGCCTTGGTCTGGCTGTCTAATAAACACTAAAGTTTCCTTCGATTCTGAGAGCTTCAGGCTGTAACACGAACCCTAAGAATCCTCAACTCGTCTGAGTCTGGATCTCTCAGCCTCAAGTACTCTAATAATGAAATCCTAAGAATCTTCGGCATAATAGCGTGTGTATAAACCACACTCACACGCATGATAGCAACAGCTTGCTAACTCGATCGTATACACACGTGTGGTGTTAATAGAGCCCATGTCAGAGTGATGTACACTCGTGTGTGTGCAGTGCCAGATTATCCTCGTAGCAAAAGTAGCTACAAATGCTACGGGCCCGGGCACTTTCGAGGGCCTAAATGCTTTCAATGTCTCAATTCTACTTCAGTGATTCTACACTTGCGCTATTACTATAGTACTATACTGCCTTCAACTTTTATGAACGACTGGGTGTTTAATGTTAGCGATTTGTTGTATTATCTGGCTGTATAGGAAATGAAAAGATTAAATTACCTTACTTTGCAAGTTAAACATATGTATTTTAATATTTACGTGTATTGTTATTTATTTAGGGCCTCTTTAAAATATATGCTACAGGCTCCGCACGAGCTTAATCCGGCACTGCACACGTGTGGTCTTAATAGAGGCAATGTAAGAGTGATGTACACTCATCTGTGTTTGTGTGTGTGCTATATATCAATGTATAGATATATTGATATGTTTTATTGTAATTACCTTTTTTCCTGTCTCGTGCTTTGCACAGCCAACCAAGCTTATGCGTTGGTCTGGCTTTCTGATAAACATCTGAATATGAACACAGAATCCAGGAGGTGCCTTTGATTCTGAGAGTTTCAGGCATCACCAATGCACCCCAATAATCTTAAAGGTGTCGGAGTCTGGATCTCCCAGCCTCAAGTACGGTACTAACAATGAATCCTATTAAACACAACCATAGCGTCTGGTTGTTAAACATTTTCACGCAAAATAGCAACAGCACCTCACTCATCATGAGGCCTCCTTTGACAGTACCAAAATATACTAATAGGGGTTTCCCCTTTTTTTCTGGCAACAAAACTGACACCTTTTGCAAGGAATCATATCTACATTAACCACAATATTTGCAGTCAAAATGTAAACAAAAAACAATACTCTGATAATTTATGCATTGTCCTTGGACTCATCTGTTACATTGGAATGGACACTTCGCCCATTCCGTATTAATCAATTTTAAATGAATCAGAATGTTCACTATTTTACTGAGAGGCTCTCATCCCTTATCAATTTCTCATGTAATAACACGTGATATAACAGCCACACTTTACGTCTATGAGCAAGTGTGGGGGGAGCAGGTGGGAGTGCTATTAGACATCTGAACTTGACAATGAAAAGCAGCATAGCGTGTGTCCAATCAGTGAAAGTTTTCAATCAGTGCAGTGGCCCCTATTGTGTTAAATTGTTCAGATCCATGAACACTGACAAATTCTGACAAATCTTCCGATAAGCACAGTTGGCTCAGTATGTTGCAAAAGAAGTTCAAAATATATTCACACACAGAGACTCACAGACACCCAGCCCCATAGAGACCCACAGAGACCCATAGATTAGCATGGTTGGCTACGTATGGTGCAAAATTTGTTCAACATGCATACATATGTAGAGGAGTAGTATGGAGACATAACGTCATGCGCACGGTGAGGCGCGATGATGTCATGTCACCTCTGGAAACTTAAGGGGGATCGGGTGACGAAAGCGGGGTCGTTATTGAAGCCCGGGATGGAGAGTGTCTGAGGAGATAGCCAGGGGTAGGGCTGAGAGAAGTCTGCAAGAGCCGGCTACGTTTATGTGGAGTGCTGCTCTCCTCGGTCGGGTGGTGCTGGTTGAGTGAGAGAGTCAAGAGATAGCCAAGGCTAGCAGCAGATAGAGCCCGAGGTCCGCGTGAAGGGCCGAGTGTAGGGACACCTACCTCTGGTGTGTAGTGTTAACCTCTTGTGTTAATAAACTGGCGTAAGCCTTTACTATCAATTCTGCCTCCCGAGTCTTCATACACCACACAACACATACAAATGACATTTAACAAAAGCTGAAAAGTGCGCAAATAAGGATAGAGAAGTACACACTTGTAATAGAACTGACAGACAGAAACAGGAGCCCGTGCAGAAGGGAATACAGGCAAATTAAATAGCATAATATAAGTTACTAATAAAACTACGTAAAAAAAACACTCGCATTCATCAATAAGACTACCTTAAAAGGAAAAATATAGTAGTGGACGTTTCGGGCAATGTCCTTCTTCATATCACGTGTATAAATATGTGTGTGCTCTGAATAATCTGTTGAGTTGTTTTGTTATTTGTGATTGTGCACCACTGCCGACGCAGTGCCAGCATCACCAAACCAGTTGGTAAGTAAAACAAAGTAGGGGCGCTAGAGAATGGCTTGATGCCGACATCACAAGAGATTGGTGCCAGAAAGATGTGGTTACTACCTGAGCATATTGGCACTACAAAATAGAGAGGAAAGTGGAAACAAATGACAAAATATGCAGTGGACACCTACTTCAGGCTATCTGCCAATGGATCGTGATCATGATTGACTCATAGAGACCCAGAGACTCAGTGATCCATAGAGACTCACAGGTCCAGAGATGTTTGGAGAGCTATAGATACTCCTTGAGACTCGTAGATAGACCAATAGGGATTCGTAGAGACTCATAGAGGAAGACCTAACACAGAATGAGAAAAGAGATTAGTGCCAGAAAGAGGTGGCACTACGTGAGAATATTGGCACAAGACAGAGGAAAGTGGAAAGAAATGACGGAATTTGCAGTGGACACTTCCCACGGGCTATCTGCCCATGAATCGTGGTGATGATGATGAGGAGTGCTCAGACAGGACAGATCGCCAAAACGGACGAGGTCTGGTGGTCGACACTAATGATGGAGTGGCAGCCAATGGTGAATGCTCACCCGAGAGATGGAGCGACGATGTGAGCGCATTAGGCTAAGGCGCTCTAGATATGTAAAATGAGATATGGAGTAACTACATTGACTTGTGGAGGCATTCATCCAGCAGTGGATAGATCATGGATGATGATGAAGGTGTTGATGTCATTACTCCCATGTGACAGAAGCTGAGTTGTCTACATTATTTAGATCCACTCTACCTCCACCACTGATATCGATGCCCTCACCCCTAGTTGAGAGTGAACTGAGTGCCATGAGTGGTGAGGGTTGGATGTGTTGTTCAGTCATTGGAGACTAAGCTAAGGCTAGACTCATCACATTTGAGGATATTGGCTATCCTGAATAGGAGTAAAAAATGGGGCTTGAACCCAGGGCGCTGCTATTTGGGCTTGGCTGTTTCAACAGCACAGACCTCCCCTTTACACTGAGCCAGGTTTTATTAACTCGTTGGGGGAATGATGATGAATAGGATACCATCTTCGACAAGCAAAAACAAATATATGTCCTCTAAACCTGCCTGCATTTATATGGATGTGTGTTTCTATCCTTTGGTCTCTCTCCTTGGCACAGTAGGGGGCACGGGTGGTACATCGGCCAGTCATTTCAGTCAGTCGACCCATGGCACCTGGGTTTGTCCCGTGACCTGTCAGCGGGCGTTCGATACTTCACGTGGTCTTAACATACACTTAGTCTGCCACTAGCGCCGTGGTGAAGTAACCACCACTTAGAGACAAATGGCGGTTGTTAGCACGGTTGGCAATGTACGGTGGAAAATAAGTTGAACATACATACGTACGGGTCTTGGCCGTGTGAATGTGAACTCACATGGTGCAGACAGCTTGAGCTTCTCAATGACTCCACTCAGCCAGCTCACTTCACCCAAAGTCAAGTCACTCGGAGGAGCGGGTGGTGGGGGGTTCTCAGTCCTAAGCACACGGGGAAGGGAGAGAGGACTTCACACGAGCACATGTCAACACGTAGACATACAAACAGTGCAGACACAGCACTGATACAGCACATGGTAGATGAGGAGAATAAAATCACTTTAGGGTAGAATCCTGCAGGAGGTGGGCAGGGTAATGTTCAATATTCAGTTTATTTCGATTTGTAACACGGTTGTTCCCGCTTAGCCAGTTGCCTGGCTATCCTAAAAAGTAGATCCATGGTGCGTGAGCACGGCCACAACGAAACAAAAACGTTAACGTTGCAGAGAACGAATACAGGTTCATATTCTTGTTTCTTACGGTAAAGTCACGTAGAAGGGAAACAATAAAATATAAAACAATAAAATTCTCACAACGTTTCGACTGCAACACAAGCAATCATCATCAGGTGTGAAAACCACAGCAAGAAAATTCGAAAAAAGTGGCGGTTATTTTTAACGTTAACACCATGGAGTGCGATTTGACAGTTTGTTAAGATGGTCGAGTCCATCTATGTTCGGAAAAGAGGAGAGGGGAGACAAAAAATTAATGTATGCTGGCTGAAAGCCACCGTAAGCGTGAACAATCAATTAAGACCCAAAATGGTTTATCAAATCCTTCCAATGATTGCTAAGCCAGAATCCATCTTCTCGGTTGAAATTGTCTCTGTGTTTGTATATGTGGATAGCCTCATGAACGAATCTCTCATGGTAGCCAGATGGCTTGCAAAGAACCTCTGTCTTGGAGAAGTCAATGTTATGTGAGCCTACTGAATTATAACAGTGATCTGCCACGGCCGAGGTGTTGATCCTACCGTGTTTTAGGTCTGCTTTGTGTTCACGAATGCAGTCCGAGACATGTCGTTTGGTTTCTCCAATGTAACTACTACAACAGAGGCAACTTAGTTTGTAGACGCCAGGATACTGTATGTCCGGAATCACATTTTTTACAGACGGAACCAGATCACAAATTTTATGTAATGTGTTGAATCTGACCTGGATCTTGTGTTTATTCAAGATTTTGGAGATCTTTTTTTGTGATCCCCGCAATGTAAGGTAAAGTGATGGTGTTGAAAGGCTCCTCAAGAGGGTCCTTCTTCATGGTTGGAGTGATAGCTTTGCGGATTATGTAGTAGGAGTAACCATTAGCCTTAAGAGCTTGGTGTACGTGCTTGAGATCACTGGCTATGTGTTCCTGGTCGGATTTGCATTGGGCTCTATGGTGCAGAGTCTTAATGAGGGAATTCTTCTGGGATGGATGGTGGTGGGAATCCGGTTTCAGGTAAGCATCCATATGGGTAGCTTTCCTGTAGACAGAGTGGCTCATTGAACCATCAGGTCTCTTTTTTATTAGGACATCCAAAAAAGGTAGCTTCCCATCTTTTTCGACTTCCATGGTAAATCTGATGGCTGGGTGTATGGAATTGATGTGGTCAAAGAATTGATCTAGAGCAGGCCGGCCATGTGGCCAGATGACAAAAATGTCATCCACGTACCTCTTCCATAAGGTTGGGCGCAGAGTGGCATTCTGGATGGCGTCAGTCTCAAATTTTTCCATGAAAATGTTGGCAACAACCGGAGATAGGAGGGAGCCCATTGGGGTACCCTCAGTTTGTTTGTAGAAAGTTCCATTCCAAGTTAAGTATGTATTGGTTAAGCAGTGTCTTACCAGGGGGGGTACCTCAGTGTTTAGTCCTTGATGAACCAAGTCTTCAATGACTGCGATGGTGTCAGGTACAGGAACTTTGGTGAATAAGGAAACTACATCAAAACTTACAAGCAGGTCGTCTGGGGACAGGGAAATACCCTTGATTGTCGATACCAGGTGAGTAGAATTTTGTACCGCAGGGGTGGTTTTTCCAGTGAAAGGCCGCAGGATTTCAGACAGAAAACGTGAGCTGGCTGAGTGGAGTCATTGAGAAGCTCAAGCTGTCTGCACCATGTGAGTTCACATTTACTGTCTGAAATCCTGCGGCCTTTCACTGGAAAACCACCTCTGCGGTACAAAATTCTACTCACCTGGTATCGACGATCAAGGGTATTTCCCTGTCCCCAGACGGCCTGCTTGTCAGTTTTGATGTAGTTTCCTTATTCACCAAAGTTCCTGTACCTGACACCATCGCAATCATTGAAGACTTGGTTCATCAAGGACTAAACACTGAGGTACCCCCCTGGTGAGACACTGCTTAACCAATACATACTTCACTTGGAATGGAACTTTCTACAAACAAACTGAGGGCACCCCAATGGGTTCCCCCTTATCTCCGGTTGTAGCCAACATTTTCATGGAAAAATTGACTTCTCCAAGACAGAGGTTCTTTGCAAGCCATCTGGCTACCATGAGAGATTCGTTCATGAGGCTATCCACATATACAAACACAGAGACAATTTCAACCGAGAAGATGGATTCTGGCTTAGCAATCATTTTAAGAATTTGATAAACCATTTCGGGTCTTAATTGATTGTTCACGCTTATGGTGACTTTCAGACCGCAACCATTATTTTCGTCTCCCCCCTCCTCTTTTCCGAACATAGATGGACTCGTCCATCTGAACAAACTGTCAAATCGCACTCCGTGGTGCTAACGTTAAAAATAACCGCCAATTTTTTTCAAATTTTCTTGCTGTGGTTTTCACACCTGATGATGATTGCTTGTGTTGCAGTCGAAACATTGTGAGAATTTTATTGTTTCATATTTTTATTATTTTATTGTTTCCCTTCTACGTGACTTTACCGAAAGAACCAAGAATATGAATTCCTGCAGTCACGAAAGCTTTAAATCTAAATTTAGAATACAGGTTCCTTAAGGAAATTTGCACAACTATGGACAGAGGAAGATGGATGCGCTGAAGCACAGTAACCCTCGCCGATTCTTTTCTGAGTTCTTCAAATCCCTCTCCTACTAACGCATTCACATGTTGAGCAAACCCAGCCTCAGCCTGTGTTAGTGCACCAAGGTACCTCTCTGTCTTCTTCATATGACCCTGTGGAAGAAAACATGGACGGAAATGATCAATAATATAAGGTACATTTAATCATAGATGGACAGGAGTGATCAGAGTGTATTATTGTATTAATGTACACCACGATGAGAATAGCAACCAAGGTAAGATCATTCATGGGACGGTGACCAAAAGAAGGAAATGGTGAGGGTAATGAAAGATATCTTGGAAAATAAACAATTTGATTAAAATTTTAATGTGTTAATGGGATGAAGATGCACACAGACTCTGTCTTTGTGGGTTGGTCACTTTGTTATCAGTACGTGTACTGGAAGTGTACTGATACGTGTTCTTTTGTTATTAGAACTAAAATAATATAACTTTATCAGCACCAAGGCTCTGACAATGTCATGCAGAAGGGAATTTGACACAGTTTGGCCCCCACTATCGCAGAGTGCGGTCGTGTCGCTACCATTCTCTGCGGTGACTAAAATGTTTTAAAAACAAAGGCACTATGCCTCTCTGAATACATTTTACGCTAAATACTAGCGTGTTCCAATATTCAACGGCGAATGGGAGCCACGCTGTAACTTGCAGATGTCTGAGAATGGGAATAGGTTAACCACCGTATTGCAGGACACCACATTTCTTTTTTTCATTTCCTCACACTGAACGTCCATGAAATTTCCTCGCTTGGTCTCTATTCCCAGGTTCCTGTAACCGTGTGTTCGTTGTTATTTGCTGTACTATCGAAGCTGTCAGTAGCCAGTCACTGTTTGTTCCAAGTCTTGGGGCCTGTGCTGATATACGTGAACCCTTTAGCCAGGAGTTTCTCTACTGCTGAGGGCTCTGTCAAACTGGGACACTTGCCCAGGCTCCGCAAGCGCTCTACCTGCAGGAACGTGAGCGAGTCCTTCTCCTCCTGCAGAGTGCGCAGGCGCGTGGCTGCTGCCTGGAGCTCGCTGATCTCGCACTCGTAATGAGCGATGTTCTCCTCGATCTTTGACAGCAGCTCACGCCCCTTCAGGTCCACGCGGTCCAGAGCTGCCCTCTCGTCCTCGTTCAGCGTCGCCCTCATGCGGGTGAACTCGCCTGAGATGCGAACCCTGGTCTGGGCCATGGAATCCTGCAAAGGGCGTGTGACGAATTATATCAATTCACTTTTTCACAGCCCTATTACCAGGTGGGATAGTGGAGGTAGGTTTGCTACCTTTTCCACAGACTAAACCCAGGCATATTTAATAGTCGGCCCAGGTTTATCTAAACCATGCAGTATAATGTAATGAAGTTCAAGCCAATATGACCACATTCTGTTACAAATCAATTCCTGGTTTAACCAATATCCACAATAGCGTTTTTTGGGGGGTTAGATCACATAAATATATAAATGTGTTGTTAAAACCCGCCATCACCCGACACAGCCAACTAGTAAGGGTTGTCGCGTAAACAGAACGTGGCCAATTCGTCACTAGTACAGCACACTGGTGTGTTGGAGAGCCAAGCCACAACATTTACCATCTGTTAGCGACGTTTCACCAGTAATTACAACTAGCTTCATTGGGCGACAGCCAGATTTGTGGAAAAGGCCATCTGTTTCGTTCCTTATATAGAGGCATAGAAGTGGTGACCACACTTCTGCGTCCTTGCGCAAAGTGGGGTGAGGAGGATTAAAGATGCCAGTGTAAATTATGCATGCACATTATGCGAGCCCTTTGATCTTGTCCTTCCTGTCCATTGTGCGAATTGGCATGTTCTGTTTACGTGACAACCCTTACTGGTTGGCTGTGTCGGGTGGTGGTGGGTTTTAACGACACACTAATATTTCTACTCGATTTAACCCCCAAGAAAACCTATATTATGAAATAAATTCCTACCAGCCGAACACCGAAGCCAACTCCTAAGCTGTGCAAGTCAAACCTGGGAAGTTGTCAACCCTAATGAGGAGGTAGTTGACCAGCGCAACTAAGTATGGCCACACTAGCCTCAATGGTTAGCACGATGTTGGGAAGCCTTCATCCAGAGGTGTATTGATAATGATCTGCAAATTATTGATACAATCGATAAGCACACAAGTCGCCTACTTCGCAGATCTGTCTGCATAATCTGTCAGCCCCACAGCTATTTGGTAATGCATAATTTTAGCACCATTGATTCAGTACATGCAAACTCTGGACCTGCTTTGACATGGAGTGTCTCATTAGCAGTGCCAGGCTTGCTTGAATGAATGCTGATGACCTGCCAACAATTATAGGCAATGACCCAATTTTTTATATGGATCCTAATCAGATGCAAAATTATATGATGCATGAACCTCTCCAAAGTTTCCTGTACTGAATCAATACTTCTTAAATTATGTACTCTCAGTTAGTGGGGCTGATGGGATTTTAAAAGTTTCTTACATGCATAATTTTGACATAGAGACATATATCTGAAGATGTCGTGTCTGCTTATCTGTTTGTAATAATATTCTCCACAACATGGTTATTTTGTGTAAATTATTAATACCACCAGGTGACTTGGTGCCCTCTTTTACAGCAGCATTTGCGTTACATTGGAAATCTATGCAGGTGACAACAAAAAAAACAAGCGTATCGCAATATCGTTGAAGACATCAAATGTCGACGCAATTACGTAATTATCCTTTCCATTAACATGTACGACACCGATACTCAATAACGAATACACGATACATTCATGCGAACTGTAATACAATTAAACAGATTTTAAATCTCCGTAACTTATATATTATGTTTGCTTTATAGTGGTTCCTGCATTCACTGTTGTGACGAACATTGTGTACAAATTGACAGTGGACAATAATTATTGTATTTTATTGTTTTCTGGAAGAGAGTTAATGAGTGTGCGAGAGATCACCATACGGGTAGAGCCTATTTACAGGAGGGGGAAGAGCTTCGACGTGGAGAGCCAGGCACTCCATATTAGGAAAGACCACGTGACCCACAATTTTGCGAAGAATTGAACAGGAGCGACGTTCATTGCTAGGAAACTTGTCCAGAAAAGAGCTTTAAAGGCGTCAGACAGATGGCACATCATCTCACTGCAGTCCACTTACACTCGGAGGGAAGTAAATAAACACACTGATGTGCGATACACAGAACGAGTGCATATCTATCCTCATAGCCTTTCAGGAGTGTGGAGACACGACACCAACTCAGGTCTGTGTCTGGAGGACAAGAACTTTCAGGCAGGAAAAAGGCGAGACTCCACGGAGTGGGACCACGCTGGGAAGAAGCCCGCGAGCTGACACCGTGGGAGGAATCGGCGAGAGAGCCAAGGCGGAGGAGTGCTCACGGTAAGGGGAGTCTCATCTCTGCTGAGTTTCCAGCCCCTGTTGGAGGTGCAACTTTGAATGACTGGTGGGTGGAATGGTCTCAGAGAGAACCTGCTCTGTGGGAGAGCTACTGGTTGCCACGGTGGCGAGATGTTAACCACCTCGCCAGGTTTGCAGAACATCATGGGTTGATCCTGACTCTGACACCTATTGTATATTTGGAGACTGCGCGTTCCGTGGATTTTTATCTGGGTCCTCTGGGTTTTCCCTCCACATTTAGAATCAACATCACGCGTTTATAGTATTTGGCTGCAATAATTGTCTACGTGATAAACCAATTCGTTGGACTAGCATTTATGATAGCCAGGTAACTTGTGAAAAAAGAGCTTCATAGCTCAGTAGCCCTTACATGATAAAATAAACATATATTCGGTTAATAAAAATAACCCATCCTCTCTAACTCCATGCTCTATGAGAGGTACGAACTCTGTATAGTATTTTAAAGGAAGCACTCTTACTGCACACTGCCGTGAGTGCACAACCATATGATGGTGTACTGTATGTGAACACGTAAATTTTGATCGGGTGAACCTGTGTGCAGTATTGTCTCTGCTGAGCGAGGAGAGTTGTGACCCGGTGATGTTATTGCGAGTAGCACGCTATTTGATTACCACACCCTGCTGGGTAGTTGTTGAGGATCGGGTAATACAATTCTGAAGCCTACGAAGCGTGGCAATGTCAGATGGCACTACCCCGACCCACAAGTTGCACAAACTGAACCACATTCCAATATCCGCTCCATTTCTTAACGCCAGGCATCTCTTCAGGGTCGCATCTCGTGTTGTAAAATTTAACCGCCGATTTCTAGTAATATTTTGATCCTAATTGTATTTGTTTTATTTGTTGGTTTTTAATACGATGCAGGTGTTGCACCATACTGTGCTATTGTCTCACCCATTGCAAGACATTCGAATTATCCTGAAAAATTCGTTGCAGTCTCACGAGATATTCTTTTTTTTAAATAAATGTTGCATTTGTTTAAATTTCAAGCACCCATAGCCATAACACTGCAATATCCTGCACCGTTATTACACATTGACTCAAGACTAACAAAATTTCACTGGGATCTACGGAATTGTTCTCACAGGGAGAGTCACAGACTCCACGCAGTGTGGAGGTCACAGGGTCACAGAGCCCACACGTCGTACCTGCACGTCCTTGCGAGCGGCCTTCATCTGTCCCACGGACACCTCCGCCTTTTTCCTCTTCTCCTCCACCGCTAGCATTTCCTCTCCGACTCCACTCTGTAAGAGACGAAGTCACCAGAGGAGACTCCACTCCCTGAGCGGCTCCATCTCAGCCCCACTCCACACGGAGCCCTCCACAGTGATGGCCAGTAAGTCAGCCTCTACTGACTGAACAGTCTGAAAGGCAAGGGACAGTGGAGAGGGAATTGGCCCACGCTGATGATTTACATCCCACGTCGTTATGCCCAGCGTCTATTAGCTTAGTTGTATCATGGGTTTGCAACTGAGTGGTTCTCACTTTTGGTATGGAGGCCTCACCTTCCGTGTTTCGTGCTCTTTCTCCAGTGTGATGACATCATGTCCTCTATGGTCTCCTGCGATGGTGCAGACCGTGCAGGCCAGGCACTCGTCCTGCTTGCAGAAGAACCTGTAAGGGTCTCCATGCTGCTGGCATCGTCGCTCCTCCAGGCTGACAATGGGAGCCACCAGGACGTGGTCCATCAATCTCGGGTTAATCACGTGAGGTTGCAAGTGGGACTCACAGAAGGAAGTCTCACACCTGAGGCAGGTCTTCACTGCACGAGTCTTCCCATCACCACAGGTGTCACAGAAGACAACTGCAGCCATCCTCTCTCCAACTCTGAGCTGCTCCACCAGGTTTGCGAGCACCACGTTCCTCTTCAGCTGGGGTCGCTCAAGGAAGGTCGCTCGGCACTGCGGGCAGCTGAAGCTGCTCGCTCTCTCCCAGGCAACGTCCAGACACCGGAGGCAGAACGAGTGTCCGCAGCTCAGCGTGGAGGGGCACTCAAACGTGCACAGGCAGATGGGTCAGCTCAGCTCACTGTCTACACAATCACTGGGAGACGCGCTCGCCATGGCCCATGGCTTCACTCGGACTCAGTCGCTCGCCGCGGCTCACGGAGGAGCAGCAGCAGCAGCTGCTCACACAGCGGAGACGAACAAGGAAATGAACTTGACTTCACCTGCAGTTAAGTTATAAATACCTCGAGACACGCCCTGGAATGTTCCACACGGCGGCCGTGCTCACCTGTGTAGACGTGGCGTTACAGTCACGCAGTGTTAGCTAAAACTGATTTTGTGTTTAGTTTGTTGTCCTTCCCCTGCACTTCCGATTAGCACGGTTGGCTACGTACGGTGTGGAAGAAGTTCAACATACATACATTGCTTTGACCGGTCTCAAGTGATATAATATTTGTACAAACAAAACCCAGCAGCAGCAGCCAGGCACACGGTGATAATGGTTTGTCCCACAAGCTGATTGACCGGCTAGGGTCAGGCTGTGTGCATTGCACAATGGAACCGCACCTTGTGCAAACATTCTGATGTAAAGGTGAACATGTTTTTTTCCTTCTGTGTCTTTATCCATTTTTTTATTGCAAGGCCTTTTTTCAAGATTCGCAGTCTGTAATCGTCTTTCACCTTCATCAACTAATATTTTAACTACTGGCTTCATGCGCCCTCTGTTCATCTGTTAAATATTTTTTCGTCTTTTTTTATTCCTACCACAGTTTTATTCTGGGTGGACGGTGGTTTTATGTATGCTGAACTTCTTTCACACCGTACGTACTCAACCGTGCTAATCGGAGGTGTGTGGGTGAGTGTAGGTGAGTGGTTGGGTGAGTGGGTGTGTGGGTGAGTGTGTGTGTGGGGGTAAGGTGCTCGCTAACAGCACTTGCCCCTACAGTCTGTTACAGGCTATATGGGGGATCTTTGTTCTTTTTTGTGTGGGTGAGTGGTTGGGTGAGTTGTTGGTTGGGTGAGTGGGTGAGTATGTATATTTAAATTATTCCGCAGCGTACATAGCCACTTGTGCTAATCGAAGGTACGAGCGAGTGAGTGGGTGGTGGTGGAGGTTGAGTGAGTGAGTGGGGTGGTTATTTGATGAGAGGGGAAACAGATGGACAAGAGGATGGGGTGAAGGGTGGGCGAGCAGGCGGTGATGTAGGGAGGAAGGGGGGCTGGGAGGGCGTGCAGTTGAGTGGCTGGGTCCCTGAGTGGGTGGCCTCACGCATTACCACAGCAAACAGCCTCTGGCTAAACAAACATCGTCGTTCGGTTAAGCTCAAAATCTGTATGACTATCCCTGTACATTTTCCTAATATGCATTAAAAAATCTTGCTCATCTTGCTCATCGTCACGTAAACAATGTTGACATTTTAAATCCTGGACTCGCTGAGTTTGGCAGATTCTATAAAAAAATAACAAAAATATTTCACAAGGTAGTAAGGTCCACTGAGCTACGTACCTCTTTTTCCCACAGGCGACCTGGTCACAAATGAAAGCCCAGCGAAGTGACTTTTCCAGTGGACATTTTCTAAGCCAAAAACTCTGATCGCGTGATGTGAATTTTAAATGTCGAGGGGAGAGCGGAGGGAGCGGAGAAAAATCCACAGGACCACGGCAAGAGAGACGCAAACTCAAAATATACAGCAGCAGGCATCAGGGTCGGGATCGAACCCACGATCTGCTGTGTACCAGGCGAGGTAGTTAATATCTACGAGCCACCGCAGCGAGATGTAAAAAAAAATCACAGAGCAGCCACGACGAACAAGGAAACGAACTGACTTCACCTGCAGTTAAATTATAAACACCACGAGACGTGCCCTGGAATGTTCCCTGCGGCAGCCCTACTCACCTGTGTAGACGTGGTGTTACATTCACACAGTGTCAGGGTGTAATATCCGCAATTGATATATTTATACAAAAACCCCATGGTAACCATGAAAACGTTGATGGTTTGTCCCACAGACTGGTTACACCAGATAGGGTGAGGCTGGGTTTTTTCAGAGTAAACTGCACGTTGTAAATTCTTATGAAATTTTTAAAGTTATACGCAGGCTTTTGCGAGCAATTTTATCCGTAATATTTATTTTTATTTTTGGTTAGATCGCGTAAATATAAAAGTGTCGTTAAACCCGCCACTACCTTACACAGCCAAGGAATTGCGGTTTGTCACTTCAACAGAACATTCCGATTAGTTACTATAGCACACCGGTTGTGTGTTGGAGAGTAAACACGCAGCATTTACCTTTTGACAATTCTGGCTATTACCTGATGAAGCTGGTTGTAATCTCCAGCAATACGTCCTACTCGGAATTGTCATCGTTGTGGATTTACTCTCCCATACACCACTGGTGTGCTGAAGTAGTAACTAATTGGCACTTTTTATTTAAGTGACAACCCTTACTGATTGGCTGTGACATTATACTCGTCGCAGTCGTTACCATTTATTTATTCAGCATCTGTGTTTTAAAATTCTAAATTTGGAATTGTTTCAAATCTACATAAACGCAATGTGAATTTTTTCGATTTAAAGCTTTCGTGACTGCAATGATTCATCTTTGGTTCTTTCGGTAAAGTCACGTAGAATGAGAGTACAATAATAAATTGATAAAGTAAAATAACACAATAATATTCTCACGACGTTTCGGCCACAACACAAGCGGCCTTCATCAGGTGAAGGGACAGTCTCGTCTCGTCCCTTCACTTGATGAAGGCTGCTTGTGTTGTGGCCGAAACGTGGTGAGAATATTATTGTGTTATTTTATTTTATCAATGTATTATTCTATTCTCATTCTACGTGACTTTACCGAAAGAACCAAAGAAAACGCAATGTGTTCAATCTGTGCCTCGTGATCTCTGATGGTCATTTGTAAAATATTTTTTTTCTTGGGATGCGGTTTTAGTCCTGGTGGTTGGCGATCGGCTGGATGGGTGAGTCGGTGGGCAGCTGAATTGGTTGTGGGGTTGAGCAGGTGGGCGGGTGAGCAGATGGGCGGGTTGGAGGGTGGGCCGGGTTATTTGGTGGGTGAGTAGTCAGCTGGGTGGGTGTGCGAGTTGGATGGGCCGGGTTATTGGGTGGGTGAGTGATCAGTTGGGTTGGTGTGTGAATGGATGGCCGGGTAATTTGGTGGGTGAGTGATCCATACTCTTTGGTTCATTCGGGTGAGTGAACAGTTGGGTGGGTGTGTGAATGGATGGGCGGGTAATTGGTTGGGCATCTGTGCAGGTATGAGATGAGTGTGGGCTGGTGGAGAGATGTGAGGGGGGGGGGAGGTCTCTGTAGATGGCTGGGTGGGTCGTGGGTGAGGGAGTGGCAGATTTCCGGGTGGGAGGGTGTTGGGTGCAGATGAGTGGGTGTTGGTTGTAACTTTTTCAGCATGGTTATTATTATTTTTTTCATCCACTTCATCATCATCCATCTACCTACTCACATGTATGGGTGCTTAGCCCTTCGCCCCACTGCTTCAGCGAAAGATCTTCACTCCATAGTCCTCTGTAAATGACGCAAGTCTCGGTACTTCCCCGGTCAAACGGCCTCAGACGTCGCTGTCGCGGTTGTCGAGGTGGCAGGAGTCGAACTCTCCATGCCGCTACTCACGCTCCTCATGTGAGATCATCCGTCTGTTGTATAAATTGTGATGAAATGATAAATTAAATGTGAAAATGAAAATGATTTAAAAAATAACAATAAAATAATAATTACGTAAAATATGTTAACGTGTGTAATTAAGTGTTCTGAACTGGAAATGTGTGTTAAGTGTAATTCGTGTGTGTGTTCAAAATTATTATTGGACGTTTATGTGATTGTGTATGTGATTGTGTATGTGATTGTGTGTGAGTTATGTGTTTGTGATTGAGTTAATTAAGTGTATGTGATTATGTGAGTGATTATGTCTGTGATTATGTGAGTGATTATGTGTGTGTTCAGTTATTATGTGATTGTGTGTGCTTATTAAGTATGTTCGATTATTATTGGCTCTCTCGTTGTCTAGGGGTATGTGTGCGTGTGATTATGCTTTTGTGATTATGTGTTTGATTATTGCGTATGTAATTTTGTGCGTGTGATTATTATGTATGTAATTATGTGTGTGTGTGATTATTATGTATGTGATTATGTGTGTGATTATGTTTTATTGACCTGGTCAAGGCCTATGATACCATCAGTAGGCCTGTTGTTGATTGTCCGGCAAAACAACCCCCTACCTCCTCGCGGTGCCGGACGGGCAACTCTGTCGTGGACAGCGCTGTGGGGGGAGATCCAATTTTGATTGGCTCCTCCCCTCATGGCATATGTGTCCACCACAGGGGCTAAACGGGGGCTCTGGACGGGTGCGAGGGGCTGGTAACCCCTTCACCTTCAATTAATTACCACGAAACCACGAATTAAACTGAAATATGTAACAACTAAGCTTGTGCCGGAGGCCCCGGGGGGCCAGGCGTCTATGACGTCTCCTGGCCAAACCCCAATTGGCGGAGCCAGGAGATTGAATACCTACCCTCGGGGCTACTCCAGAAACAACGAAAAGCCACTACGGGTGGCCACGTGGAATGTTCGAACGCTCACTGCAGAGGAGAGGCTGTCACTCCTCTGTCGGGAGCTGGACCGGTACCGCCTGGATCTATGCGGCATTCAGGAGGTCCGGTGGACCGGCTCTGGCTCCTACCACCATGAGGGGTGGACAGTCCTCTACTCGGGGCAGCAGACTGCCAAACAACAGGGTGTGGGTCTTCTTTTGAACAAAAGAATGAAGGGGGCGTGGGAGCGTGGCGGTGAGGTGTGGGAAGCTGTAAGCCCCAGGCTACTTTGGGCTCGCCTTCCCATCAACCGGAGGTGAGGAATGGTGGTCGTGGTTACTTATGCCCCCACCGAAGATGAACATCCGTGGAGGGATGCAGGCAAAGCCGATGAGTCAGATGCCTTCTATGACCTCCTGTCACAGGTGCTGGCTAAAGTGGCCCCTCGGGATAGAGTCATCATGTTGGGTGACTTCAATGCCCGAGTTGGTCATGATACTGGCACCTGG